CCCCCACCCCCCAAAAAAAACCCCCTAAATCTCTCTAAATTATGATAAAAAAATTTAGTTTAAAAACCCTAAATTATAATAATCCAAAAATAAACGAGTTTGAATCTTGTCACCCTAATTGGAAACATTTCAGTTATATATTAACCCTAACTCAACTACATTTATACCCCATTTGAACAACACTTATAATCGTAAATCTAATTAAACACTTGTGAACTATTAACCCTAATTGAACACCTGATTCATGATAGCCGATTTACACTAAGTTTCGTTCGTGCTATAAATATATGTGACTATGTAAGTTTGTGATGTGAAAATATGTTAAATAAAAAAATTTCAAAAAATAGAGTGATAATAACACATTATAATTTTTAATGTGTTATATATCCAATTTAGGTGAATGAAAAAAGTAACGTTATCCCTAGACTTCCGTCCAATAATTACATCCAATTTTTTGGACTTATAATATAAGATAGACGACTCATATTTGGGTAGGAGACAAAGTTTTCTCATGAAAATAATCGTTTACTTTATATTATAGGAAGAAAGAATTAGTATTAAAATTTATAATTATTGGATATGTCCTTCTCGGACGTGTTAGGAATATAGTAGTGTATACATCCAACTTTGTATATTTTATATGTTTTCATTTCTTGAAAGTTTTGGCAACACGTATTCGTTGTTCTCCGTGTACAATAAGCGTATGTTGTTTTGCATTTCGATCTATTGCCGATACGCATAATAACATCCGTACAATGTATAGGGAGAATAGCAGGTAGGTGCTGCCAAATTTTTTAAGAAATAAAAATATACAAAGTATATGAAGTTGGATGTAAGCGCTAGTATATTCTTAATGGATGGAAGTCTTCCTATGACAGCCGCTAGAGTGGTCTAATTAGTTTCTATATACGTTTCAGATATATTTTATGCAGAAAAATATTTTTATTGTTAAATGATATATGTACGTAAGTATGATGTGTTGTATGTATATTGTCACGAAAAGTCATGAATTTACTAGCAGTAGTGAGATTAATCGTAGTTATTAGTTAATAATTATATATAATGTACAGATGGGGATAATTCCTGACAAATCGTGAATAGATATTTCACGATTTGAAAGATTTCGTGACACGTGATATAAGGAGGGATATGACGCCTTCATGCGGTATGCCGAAATAAATACGAAAAATTTAAGTAGCGGTACTATGTATTGTCCCTGTTGTAGGTGTAGGAATATGAAGCAGCAAAATAAAAATTATATATGGACCCACCTAATAAAATCAGGTTTTGATAAAAAATATAAATATTGATCATATCATGGGGAAGACTGTACTGAAGATGAGGATCTGAATGTGCGTGTTAGTACGCCCTGCGGCTTACGGATAGACGACACAGAAACAATGTTGAATGATATTTTTCCTCGTGCTACCGAATATGATATCGATGATAATGTTGAGGATGATATCGGAGATAAAAGTGAAGATCATATCGAAGATGATGCTAAAGAGGTCGGAGATGTCAAAGGTGCAGAAAATATTAAAGATATGCATTCCTCGCAGACATAAAGCGAATAATGAAGCTACTAGAGATAGTGAAAAGGACCTATATGAGAGTTGTATATAGTACTCCAGATTTTTATTTATGCTGAAACTCCTACATATTAAGACACTTAGCGGAATGTCTGATAATTATTTTAAAATGCTTGTTGATTTGCTTCGGACGTTAATTCCTGGAGGAGAGATTAGCATAACTCAAATAACTTATCAAGCTGAGAAGATTGTCTCCGCTCTAGATCTTAATTATAATAGGATTGATGCATGTCCGAATGATTGTATCCTATACTACAAAGCCAATAAAGACCTTCAAGAGTGTCCGACATGTGGAGTTTCTAGGTGAAAGCAACACACCAACTCTTCAACAAGGAGTACAACGAAGACAAATGTGACACAGAAGAAAATTCCAGCAAAGGTGCTTCGTCATTTTCCATTGGCCCCTAGATTGCGATGATTGTACATGAACAAGAACACGACAAAGGACATAAGGTGACACAAGAAAGATCAAGTAGATGATGGTAAATTAATGCATCTTGCTGATACTTTAGCTTAGAAGCATGTTGATAAAATTTATCATCGTTTTGCCGATGATTGTAAAAATGTCAAACTGAGCCTATCTAGCGACGAATTCAATCCGTTTGGGGTAATTAGTTCTGGCTGGTCTACGTGGTCAGTTGTATTAATGTCATATAATTTACCTATATTGTTTTGTATGAAACAACCGTATATGATACTCTCATTGCTGATACCCGGTAAGTACGTACCGGGTAATGATATTGGTCTATTTAGAGCCTCTAATTGATGAACTGAAACAGTTATGGCCTGAGAGTATATTGATGTATGATGCCCATCTTAAAGAGTCGTTTAGATTACGTGTTATTCTATTATGGATGATTAATAATTTTCTAGTTTATGCTAATCTGTCTGGTTGGTCTACGAAGGGCAAGTGTGCTTGTCCTGTATGTGGTCCGAAATTTAAAGCTCTTCAATTACCGCATAGCCGAAAGAGTTATTGGTTTAATAACAGGTGATTGTCCTTGAGTCGTATAGAAAATTATCCGCTATGTTTGATGGCACAATTGAGAAGAGCATGAAGCCGCGTCAGCTGACAGCAGTTGAGATCGTAAAATTACTTGAGGGTTATCCAAAAGTTAGGTTTGGAAAAAATCGTTATTCTAATTACGACCCGCTCGGAGTAAGAGATTCCTTAAAGACAAAAAAGTCATTGAAACGTAAGCGAACGGTCCGAAAAATGCAAGTTGAGAATGAAGCCGAAAAATTACCTAGAGGATGACTAAATTTAGTATGTTCTTTTAGCTATCTTACTGGCAAAATCTTAAAATCTGACACAACTTAGATGTCATGCATATTGAGAAAAATATATGTGATAATATAGTGTCAACTCTCCTATAAGATGCAAACAAGTCGAAGAACGACCTACGGGCTCGCCAAGACCTGACTGCTTTGAATATCCGGAATGATTTGCAAGCACAAGATGTTAGCCTTAAAAAATTAAAGTTGGCTCTGTCTCGTGTTACAATATCAAATGAGCAGATGCAATGATTTTGTGAAATTCTCAAATCGGTAAATTTGCTGAATGGTTACTCTGCTAATATATCAAATAATATCCAGGTGCAAGAGAAAAAACTCTTAGGTCTGAAGACCCATGATTACCACATCCTTCATCAATTGCTCCCGGTTGCACTCTGTAACAATATGGAGAAAGAAGCGTCGAAGATTATTATATAGTACTGTGGATTCTTCAGAAAATTGTGCTCTAAAGTCATAGATGTGGATGAATTTAAAAAACTTAAAGCTGAGGTCCGAGTTACTCTATGCAATATGAAAGTAATATTTCCTTCTTTATTTTATAATTATGGTCCATCTTACCCAACATCTTGCAAGAGAGGCTAGAATCGTAAATCCTGTTACTTATCGTTGGATGTATCCGATTGAAAAGTTAGGGTTTTCATTACCTTCATTAATTATATATGTATTTCTTATATTGCCTTCATAATAATTACTTCTTTTTATAATTTTAAGATACTTGGGCTCCATGAAACATAATATTCGCGATCGAGCTCGTTTGGAGGGTTCGATAGCTGAAGGATATGTGGCCAACGAATGCTTTGTGTTTGCATCACGTTACATGTGTAAGAAGAAAACCACATATCAAGCACCAGTTAAGGAGAAGAAGCGTGAAAAATATCCAAGATCTCTCTTAGATCAAATTCATGCGTACGTGTTGGAAAATCTTGATATATTCCAAGACTATCAAAGTAACAAATAAACTTAGTAATATAGATGATGCATGTTCATTTCACATTTAGTTTACCAATACAATCTTAAATATTGTTCATATAGGCGACATATGGAGAAACTTAAGAATGAAATAACTGGTAGGAATGCAGCGCATAATATTTAGAAAAAATATAAGAAAGAATTTTCAGATTGGTTCAGAATTGATGTAAGTGTTTTATAATTAAATTTTGAACTTTCATAATATAACTTTAAGTTAAACTTATCCTAAATATTCTCATAT